TCTTTATGAATATCAAGGGGAGGTGCAACGGAGAAGCCACTGCACCACAGGTCCACCGAAGCGGAGGATAATTCAGATGAGGGGAGGGGTCTGACAAAAGCTGTAGGTCGTTGAATATTCACTGCAGTCACAGTGATTCATTGCGGTTCCAAAGTTGATTAAAAGGAAAGGAAAGATTAATATGTTCACCTCTCAGTGTGAGACCTAGGTGGAGCTGCTGAGTCGTACGGGTTCCATATGTCTTAAACCATTTAAAATAAAATAAATAAACCTTGAAACCATCCTGAGAGCAGGCGTGAAGATTTATAAACGACCTCAGGATATCTCATCCCTCCAGTGAGGAGAGCTCCTCTGCTGACGCCTGATTGGCCACTGGGCCTCGCCCCGGTGCCACCAGCTGACCTGTAGTTCTGACCCACTTCCTGGACTGTACACAGACCCAGGTATTCCTCTCAGACTGTGACGTGGAACAATAACCTTTAAATACTGACACATCAAACATTAACCTGAAGAAATGATCAATGTCAAGAATCTCAGTCAGAGTTCATCCACAAATATGGAAGAAGAGAAAAACACATCAACGGTGCCCCCTATGTTTGACTGCAGCAATAACAAGCAACTATGACTCAAATGACTCTTCAAACTGGAGTCTTATTTTACACTGGCTGAGAATTATAAGCACCGGGAGGAAGATATATCTGCTCCTAGAGTGGGGGGGGGGGGCTGTGTTCAGTTCCCATCTCTCCAGACTGATTAGAGGATCAGGGGCTAATTCAACCTGTGAAGAGCCAGGCACAGACTGAAGCTCATCTATAACACACACACACACACACACACACACACACACACACGCGTCGGCCCCGTTGAGGTGTAAACCTCACACCTCACACTGCTCAGGTCCTCGGTGATGAACAGTGATTGGACGGTGGTGCTACTGCTACAAACCAACCACTGAGAAACATCATCATCAACTCCGTCCTCCGTCTGCTGACACGGTCGGTCCTCGACATTTCCATTCAGACTGTAATGAACTTCTATTCAATGATAATTGATGACATCACACGATGACATGAACAGATAAAGTTCAAGTTCATCACTGGTTCATCTTTGGCTCAGTTCTGGTTCAGTTCTGGTTCATCTCTGGCTCAGTTCTGGTTCATCTCTGGTTCAGTTCTGGTTCAGTTCTGGTTCAGTTCTGGTTCAGTTCTGGTTCAGTTCGTTCAGTTCTGGTTCATC